GGAGAAAACACGGAACTAATGCCACTTTCTTCCCCGACTCCTCTTTCAAGTTGCCCTTGAAAAGAAAATTACAACAGCGGCTTTGATGCAATTCTGACATGCTTCGAGATATAAGTGCATACCAGATTATCATTCCAATGAGTCTGTCCTGATGCCTTTTATAGAGTACGAGCTGACAAGAAGAAAGCATTTTCCACACCGTGCGTAGGGACACGGAAACAGTGGCTCATTACACAAAATGGCAAAAGAAGAAAAATGGTATTTCTTTGTTGTCTACTGGTTTGTAACTTAAGTCAATATGGCATTTAGAGACCTGCTGAGACATCTTTTAATGAGAAGATGAGCTAAATAATGAGACAGTGCAGAAGCAGCGTGCTGAAAAAGTATCTTTATGTTATTATGTTAATGTTACTTTTAGGTCATCTCAACCCTAGCAAATGAGTTTCCTTAATCTTTATACTCTGAGCAAAAATAATAGTTTGAATGCATCGTTTCATTCAATCCTGAATGTTATAAGTACAAAAATGTGTGCTCCGGATTTCCCCCCCTTGTTATTGTTGTTGGTCAGTGGGTCTATTGAAGGTGTTGTACGGTCGCCGACAGGACTACAACGGACCAAAACAGTTCCATTAAGCGCCGCCGTTTCAAAAATGATGCAAATACAAAACACAAATGTGCTTACAACGAAACATCTTCACCAACTTGACACAATGCACAGCATTAACGAAACACTGCAAATGCAAAACGCTTTAAAGACAAAAAGCTGCAAGAAGCTCCAAACATAACGGAAACACTGCGGTCAAGCCAGCCTCCACTCGGGAATATCCTATGCATTACGGTAGAGTCCTGGAAACACTGCCTCTGTGTTTAGATGAGAATAAAACAAAAACTGTCCAGTATCAAAGACTCATTTCACTTCAGGGTGATAGCAGGACATCCCATCTAGTCACTTAGAAAAAATCAGGACATTCTGATGTACAGTTTCAAAATAAAAGACCTTTGAAGTCTCATATATGAGCTATCATCCCTGTTTTTAGATGACTAGATGGGATGTCCAGCTATCACCCTGGAGTGAGATGAGTCTTTGATACTGGACAGTTTTTGTTTTATTCTCATCTAAACACAGAGGGATGATAGCTCATACAATAGAGATTTCAAAGGTCTTTTATTTTGAAACTCTACATCAGAATGTCCTGATTTTTTCTAGGTGACTAGATGGGATGTCCTGCTATCACCCTGAAGTGAAATGAGTCTTTGATACTGGACAGTTTTTGTTTTATTCTCATCTAAACACAGAGGCAGTGTTTCCAGGACTCTACCATAATGCATAGGATATTCGCGCACCGCAATATCACGTTCGGGCTGGCTTGACTAGGTGTTCCCGAGTGGAGGCTGGCTTGACTAGGTGTTCCCGAGTAGAGGCTGGCTTGACTAGGTGTTCCCGAGTGGAGGCTGGCTTGACTAGGTGTTCCCGAGTGGAGGCTGGCTTGACTAGGTGTTCCCGAGTAGAGGCTGGCTTGACTAGGTGTTCCCGAGTGGAGGCTGGCTTGACCAGGTGTTCCCGAGTGGAGGCTGGCTTGACTAGGTGTTCCCGAGTGGAGGCTGGCTTGACTAGGTGTTCCCGAGTGGAGGCTGGCTTGACTAGGTGTTCCCGAGTGGAGGCTGGCTTGACTAGGTGTTCCCGAGTGGAGGCTGGCTTGACTAGGTGTTCCCGAGTGGAGGCTGGCTTGACTAGGTGTTCCCGAGTGGAGGCTGGCTTGACCACAGTACGGAAACGGGGAAAGTAAAAAGTGATGCACACAGCTGAGATGGGAGCTCTTGTTGGTGTTTGAGGATTGTAACTATCAACTAGGGATGCACCGAATATTCGGCCACCGAAAATTATCGGCCGAAAATGGTTAAAAAGGCCCTTTCGGCTTTCGGCCAAAAGGGTTTTAGCACCGAAAAAATATCACCGAATGTCAGAACAGGCTTACGTTGGTAACCTAACGTGTTGTTGTGATGACGTAATAAAGACGCGGCGACCATGCTCGCGGCTGGCTCACAGGGGGGGGGAACATTGACCTTTGTCATCGAGATTGCCCTGAGCCTTTAACAAATCGTATTAAATAATCTGATGACAGACTGTAAACAGAATAGCTGAAATTTTAACAAACTAAATAACTCAGTTTCCTCTAATCATTAACCCATGTTTGTATAATGTAGTTAACTCCGTGTGTTGCTGCTAGCATACATAACACCTGACGTGGAAACGTTACTCGTGGATGGGGCTACAGAGCTACTAGAGAGACAGTGGAACCCGGTACATTCCTCCGTCTGCATGCGGTGCACTTTTGCTAAATGTTTAGACAAATTGCTCGTGCTTACATGCTAAACTCTTATTGCACTTATGGTAACAAGTATTCTCCACATCGAGACGGGTAAAGTTTAACCACACCTCGGAGCGCGTTCTCTCCGCCATCTCCGCAGTGTGCTCCGCTGCATGTAGCAGCTGCGTGTGTGTAAACTGCCCCGCCCCCTCGCACACAGACGGGGGAGAGAGATCTCGTCTAATCGAAAATGCATCATAGACGAATTTGTTGTCTTTGCATATTAGAAACGAGTTGGCGACACTAAGACTGCGATATAATGTTTTTTAGCAATAATACATGACATATAAATGTACTGTATGCATTCAAAAGTGCTGAATAAATGTTTTATGGACCCATAATAGTGATTATTATTTAAGTTAAGTTTTGCCATAATCATGTCTATTTCCATAATCAGAACAACATTGGTAAAAAATGTATACATTATATATATATATATTTCTATTAATCATTTTCGGCCTTTCGGAATTCGGTTTTCGGCCAACTGTTTCCTATTTTCGGTATCGGTTTCGGCCAAGAATTTCCCATTCGGTGCACCCCTACTATCAACCAACTATCACGTTTACTGGAAACGTACCTAAAATGTAAGTTGTATGGACTTATTTTAAAATGTGATCACATGACCAATATTACTGCAGATCTGCTGTAAGCTAGCTAGATAACTTAGCCATGTCAAATATACAGACCAAACACTTACAATTATGAAAACTCTGCCAACACTGACAGTTAGATTTACATCGTAGTATTGTCCTGCGATTACTTAGCCCTCTAAAACCACTGTGTATTAAAGATCAAATGCAAAGCTTTTTGTATAATTGCCAGTACAATCGAAATCATATAGCTACAACACTATCTAAGATATTGCAGTATTAAAATCGGAGATAATATGAGTCTGGCAATGCGCAATATTAATTTTGTTCAACCCCCAACACCAAGTCCGACGATTTATTTTCTCCGCCGCTCCTCCGCAAGATGGCGGCGCGTGACGTCAGATGTGCCAAACATATTTCCACCTGGCTTATCAATCACAGCGGCTTCCGCCGATAGTACAACTAGTTTCGTCTATCATGTCTGATTCTGAGTAGACTATAGACTAAAAGCTTTAGGAATCCAAACTATAACATATAATAAGTACCCTGTATCAAGATTGATGCAAAACAAGTGAAATTTGACATTTTTAGAGAGGTTTAGAAAAATAAATTCCAGGCGGACTCACCTCACAAGGACGAGGTGGATGGGAATTTGTCCAATGCCTAACATATTTCCACCCGGCTTATCATGTCTGATTCTGAGTCGGAGGCCACCCAATATCTGGAGTATGTTGTCGACATCCAACCCTATCTCTACGAGCCTCTGATGTCGAAGAGGAAATACGAGGAAACGTCACCTGATATCACCGATGAAAGTGCTGATGGTGATGATTCAAGTTCGCCATCTGAGGAAGAGGCCGAGGGTGCTGAGAATTGGTGTAGATGTGGAAACTGCCAGACCATGCCTACAAGCCGAGAAAACAAGTGCTGCCACAACTACGGTTCCCTTATTACTTATCCTAGCTCCACATCCAACACATTGTTTATGATCGTAAAGACACATAATCTAACGGTGCCCACCTCTATAAGCAATACAACTTAATAAAACTGCAATTCCGTTATCTGCGTTATCTGCTGTGCTCCGTGCGCTTTGAAATCTAATCAAAAGTTGTTTACCTCAATTCTTTGTCGTTTCTGCATCGCCCGGCTCTTTCGTTCTTTCAGTGGTTTCTTGTGCTGAAATATGGAGGGGACGGCTCCGGGTTTCAGCCTCCGACATACTATTAATGCTTCTGCACCAACAGACTTGATGATAGCAGGATCAACCTCGTATGCATCACACGCGAAGTGATCAGAACACAACCTGCTCCATTTTGTCGGTTGCCAGCCAACACGATTCACTAACAAAATCCATTTTTTGCGGATGATTTGGTCTTTGGGAAATACATGAAAAACTCTCCCAGATCCCGCACCGTTCGTACAACAAAAAGCACAACAATAACCCATGTTAATTCAGTTTTCTTGTCGAAAAACTTGACCGAGACTGCCGAGTCGGGATGTTTGGTCCAGAGACTGTTTGGCATGTATGACGTCACGCGCGCGGAGGCTGCTGGGGAGGTCATGTCAGAAATTCAGACGGCTTTGGGTCAAGTTTTGTATCAATAAAAAGCTTTTTTTCGGGTGTATTATCTCGATTTAAAATTTGTTTTAAATACAGGCAGTCTTAAAAACAAAATTTCTATAAAAATGTAGCGTATTTGGAAGCTTTGCATTTGATCTTTAAGGTTAGGGGTAAGGGATATGTTGTGTTGTGTTTAAAAAAAAAAGAAATGGTACTTTGAAAGAGATCTGTAGGGTTGTATCTATCGTGAGAGTTTTATATAAAATGGCCATCTTTGTGGAATGATGTGCCTGTGACTTTGCTCTCTGCCATGTTGCTAGTTACCCAGTAATGAACATTTGTCCTACAAAGTTTGGGAAGCTGTAACCCAGAGTGAGAATCCTCTCCATTACCCCCCCCCCCCCCCTTAGGCTCACAGCTACAACATGAAAAGGTATATCATTATCCATCAGTCATGTGTGTGAGAGTGAGTCTTCCTACCTGTCAGAGGCTGGAGGAGTTTGGAAGAGGAGAAGCACTTGTTGTAGATTCTGAGAGCGAAGTCCAGTGTCAACGCCACACTGTGCCAATCACTTCCTGTAGGGAGAAGTGACAGATGGTTACTGTATGTGTCACTCCATATTGGTTATTTTACCAGGCAATATATTACTATTGCAGTCTCAGTAAAACTTTTACAACCGGTACAAGTTATATTAAAGGTGGGGTAGGTCAGTTTGAGAAACCGGCTCGAGATACACGTTTTGTTATATTCCATGGAATGCTCTCAACATCCCGATAGCAATGAATATCTGAAGTGCTTTGACAAAAAATCCATTACAAAATGTCATCTGTGGAAGCCGTGGCGCTGTAAAAAGCACGACCAATCATCTGAGCCGGCCCGGCTAAAGTAACTGGATGGCCTACCTGCCTGTCAGCCTTCCATCTGTGCACAAACTTATCCCGTGCCCTCATTGGTCATGTGCGCGTTCGTGTGTGTTGGAGGAGGGGCTCTGTAAGGAAGTGGCAGATTTTCTCCGGTTGTGTATTTTCAAATTCTAGCGCACTCGAGCTGGTTTCTCCAAAATTACCTACCCCACCTTTCAGTAGTCTCGGATCTTTCTTTCTGTTCCTCTGCATAAAAATGATAGAATTTTAGAAATGAACACAAACAAATGCAATTCCTTTATCAGGTACCACCTGTTCAACACTGCATTCAACCACTGACCACCCCCCTCCCCCCCTATTTTCTGTTCTGTTTATCTCTTTTTGTATTTCTTTGTTATCTATTTTTTTATTTTGTTTTGTTTTCTCTTGTCTTTTTTTCTCCTCTTAATTCTCTGTCAAAGCGTCTTTGAGTTTCATGAAAAGCGCTATAAAAGTCCCATGTATTATTATTATTATTACTTAATCATTGTCCCTTCAATTGACATGAGACAATGACTTAGAAGGAAACATAACAAAATGGACTGATAATGTTCAGGTTCATATTTGTATGTTGTGCCTCTACTGTCACGTTTGCACGCTGTAATGTTCAAACATGTGGTGCCTATGCTGCAGCAACTCTTTTCATCCGCTTTAGTTGAAGGTTTTAACTAAAGTTACAACAAAATAAAGGAAATAGTGCATTTGTTGGGACTATTTCCAGCAGCGGATTTAAACAAATGTGATGCTATAGTGAGTCTATGTGGCTTCAGAACGGTGTAAATGGGATTGAATGAGATCAAAGAACATTGTGTGTTCAAAGTAATGAAGGAACATGTCACTCAGTTCAACAGTGTGGCTCAGTGATGGATTTCAAACGTTTTTGACACAAATCGACCACTTGCCTAGAAAATAAATGTGGTTTATATACACAGAAAATACTTCTAAGTAGAATATGTTCATTCTTTGTTCCTTTGCATGGAATTTCACCAGACTTTACATATAATCTTTCCCAGTGGTTTAAAGTCACTTAGTTGAGACAAGTTTGAGATACTTGTACTTGAGTTTTTTCATTTGTTGCTACATTGTACTTATACTCCACAACAATTCAGAGGTAAATAGTCTACATTTACTCCACTACATATATTTAATACCTTTAGTTATTTTTCAAATTTTGATTTGAATTATACTCAACTCTTAAATCAGACTTTAGCTCCACCTGGAGTGGAGTATACAAGCTGCAGTATACAAAGTCATTCAAACTAGCTGCACCTTTACCAGCTTTGATAACACTTTAATGATCAATCATTATAAAACATATCATATATATTATTCTGAAATGGACCAATCTGCACAACGACTACTTTTGGTACTTTAAGTCTATTTTTATGGTAATACTTTTGTACTTTTACTTGAGTAACATTTTCAATGCAGGACTTTTATTTGTAACAGAGTAGTCCTACACAACTGTCTTTGGCTCTTTTCTGCTGTAACAATGTACATGTCCCCTCTGTGGGACTAATACAGGTATTCTGATTCTGGTTCTGGTACTTTTACCCAAGTACCAGATCTGAGTGCTTCTTCCACCTCTGATCGTTTCCACAAATGTCCCCTGTACATACAGTACAAGGACAACAACACGTTGCAAAAGTAGATAAGGTTTCTAATGGGATATCATATCTGCACTGTGTTCGGAGCAGATGTACTTTCATGCCACTGCTCACATTCATAAAAACGAGAGAAGAATTTCCACATCAAACAGTGTTCTAAGAAATAAGATGGTGGGGTTGAAGGTTAGCTCATAATCCATAACAGATAGTTAAGTGCGGCCACGCTGGCCTCCAACCCTTATGAAAATTGTAACAGCCTTTGGCACGAGCGCAGAATCCAACAAATCAAAACCGTGAGGCTTCCGCTCATTTGCAGTCAGGCCATGAAGGCAACATCGTGGTCAGCCGCTCGGCTCCCCTGCTGTTTTATTTGTCAGGGATTTGCATCATGGCGGCAGGAGTGTTGAATGAGAGCTGTTTTAAAAATAAACACATGTTGCCGGCACAGCGAGTGATTCAAGTAACATTAGATTATATAAATTGTCGGTAATGATGCACCGGGGACAGCATCTGTGAGCTGCAGAGGTCGGCCCTAACATTCTGCTGCACTCTCCAATAAAATGCGATTTTACAGCCTTAACATGAGCAGGTACATACAAAGAGACAAGCAGAGGTACGAGAGGGGGCAGCCCTTGTTGTAGAGGTCACACACACACACACACACACACACACACACACACACACACACACACACACACACACACACACACACACACACACACACACACACAGTGATACACAAACACTGCTGACAAGGGAACAATATGAAGCACTGTAGAATGTATGAAGAAACGGATGCAAGGGTAATTTTACTGAGCAGCACCATTAACATCCCTGCCCTTGTCTGAACTGAAGCTCAAATCAGTCACTCACACACACAGGAAATGCATGTATGCACACACACACACACACACACACACACACACACACACACACACACACACCACACACACACACACACACACACACACACACACACACACCACACACACACACACACACACACACACCAGCATTTTCTCCTCTTTTTTACCTCTTTTCGCCCTCGGAGAAGGAGAGGTCGACATTTTAACTGCAGCTCGCGAGGAGATGGCTTCCTTTCACCTTGACGGGCATATAATGAACATTTTTCATTTTGAGCTTAGCTTCACTTACAGAGTCAGTCAGCTATTTTTTCTTTGAACCTTTTTTTTCTTCCTGTTCCCTCTCTGACATTTCCCTCAGTGGTTTTGCCAGGATGATCTTCACAGTGCATGTGTGCCCCTTTTAAAGAAATAGGATACATTTCTGTTGATTTATATTTTCAATAGCGCTCATTTCCATATAGGTCCCTGTATAACACACAGGCCTACAGCGAGGCGTGAAGCACAAACAGTATGCTCATCACACCTTTCAATAAGAGCCATGTTACCATGAAATGTGTATCGTTATTTACTTATTGTTTAGCATTTTGCCACAGAAAAAGAACGCTCTGCACTTTGAAGAGATATTTGACAGATGGCTTCATGTTTCTAAATGTATATCACGGTAATGAAAAATACTGAAGCTGCGATAGTGGACGTACACACACATAAAGCTGAATAAAAACACATTAATGCAACAGAAGTAGGAAGACTGTACAGCTAGAAATGACTGCCTTGCCCAATTAAATTACTCCTTAAACCAACCCCATTGCTTCATATGTTGATATTATTTACCTACAGTAGGATTATATTGATTGATTCCAACACACGATGCATCTCATCCACTTTAACCAGAAGCACACAGACAGTGCCCCAAACCCCAACCCCCAGATTTAGAGGTGAAGATGTATGTGTCTTGTTGGTATCAAAACCTCTGGCTTTTAACATAACAAAGTGATTCAATAGAAAAAAAACAGGAAAATGAAAAAAAAAATGAATTATGGAAAGATTTGAAAAACAACAGATAATAGGCATACAAATAACAACAAGGGAGATGTTAATAAACAAAAAAGAATGTAAAACATCAAAATATAAGAGGAAAAACAACAATAAAGATTTTTAACATGAAAAAGAGACATGACATATTTAGCTTCTCAAGAAAAGAAAAAAACAATATTTATAATTGATAGAAAAAGACAAATTAATTTTCAATTCATTCAAATTAATATTCATATTTGTATAGTTTAATAACATAGGCTAATAGTTTATAATCAAATATATAGAGATGTTAATATAAAACAGTATACAATTCGTAGAGCAGCTGGCAGTGCAGTGTTTGCTTTCAGCTTAGTTTGGCTGGTATTGAAAGGAATGCATTTGGAGATCAAAATGAGTGATGCAAAAAAAGTACATTATTATTTCATACTAAACATAATTCCTTTTTTTCCAATATGTAAAAGTTTATAACTTGATGTTTGTTCTGTGATGATTTGCCAAGAGTGGTTGTCATCCTCGCATTCAAAGTGATGGATTCACTTTACTGCTGGAGAAAAAAAGGGAAGTAGAAAACTCATTGTATGCATCTTAAAATGTAAGATTAAAAAAAGGGGATGATGAATGAAAGAGCTATCAGAAGTAAGAATGATAAATTATCCTCAAACCCAAAAACTACTAACCCTGAGAAAGAGTTTAGGAGCAAAACATAAAGTGCTATCTAACCAAAAACCTCCCGTCCAAAAAACCTGATGTGTATTCAAAAGGCTAGCGAGGCATGACTACATGAGCACACACACACACACACACACACACACACACACACACACACACACACACACACACACACACACACACACACACACACACACACACACACACACACACACACACACACACACACACACACACACACACACACACACACACACACACACACACACACACACACACACACACACACACGGAGGTGGCCATATTTGCCCACACGGGAGGTTGGGGGACGGGGGCGACGGGGGCTGGCATGGTGCGTTCCAAGACAGCTGGTGAAAAGCGGGTGTGCTCTGGCTCCTAGAAGGAGCAGATTCAGGTGACATCTGTGCCTCCTGTTGCAGTGCAATACTAGAAACACTAAAAGTGAATTACAACATTAATGATAGTGCTCTGCAAG